GAGGCATGAGAAATCCTAAAGTTGATTCACCAAGGTATATAATTGGATATCTAGAATTACAAAGAAAATGTTTCTCAAATACTAAGAAAAAAATTTTTTTAAAGAGAAATTAAAATTCAGAATGTCAATTAGATCAATACAGGGCTTACTAGCTTTGTGATCTTGGACGTGTTACTTAAGCTTCAGTTTCCTCATCTGGAAAATGGGGATAATAATTAGCCAGCTAATATGAACATAAAGGAGGTAGTACTTTTGGAAACTTTCAAGTTTCTGAGACAATGGTTGTTGGTGCTGTTTTTAAGAAACAATTTAGAAATGATGTCAAATAAAGCTGGAAAAATACATATAGAAGCACTTTTTGAAAGCAGTATTTCCCTTCATTTCCCCCTCCCCCAGCCACACATTTGGCAAACATATCTCTGCTTTTGGAAAATAAAATTTTCTTTAGATGGATTTGAACTGGAAGAATTTATCAACAAAATTCTTCAATGGAAAAGATCAGAGGATCATAAATTTAGAACAGAAAGGAATATGACATTGTCTATTACAGTGTTCGTATTTATAGAGAAGGAATCTGAGGTCCACAGAGAAGTGACTTTCCCAAGGTAATAGCACAGTTAATTCTTGGGGCTGGCTGTGATTTGAAGTGGGATCCCCTAACTGTGAATTCAGTAATCTTTCTACTTCATGTGGTCCCTGTAATTAGTTCATAAATAAATCCCGAGTGACCAAATGATGAGTACTTAACAAGATCAATAATGTGTTTTGCCCATTACTTAATACAATTAAAACTCAAAATATACATGTATACATACATGTGTATGTGTGTTTGCATATCTATGCATATGCATACTTGTGTGGATGTAAAAAAGGAATTATTTTCAACTATGATAGAAACAATCAAGATAAGTTTCATTTAAAATGTATTATCAATAACAGAATGGTAAATTAAAGTGAAAATGCATTTAGATACCTTCAAAATTGCTAATAAAAAGCTAACAGATGACAAACAATATCATTAAAAACGTAGGAGGAAAAGGGAAAGAATTGGAAGTTCCAAAGGGAAGATTTCTCAAACTTTAGTTAAGCTTCAGGGAAGCATAAGAGTCAGTACTTTAGCAAACTTTAACAAATCTTCATTGAATATTTTAATAGTTGAAAAATATATTAAGAGTTAAGATTAAAAATGTTTTACTTCCTCTAGTTAACTTTAGTAATAATCAGAGGAAAATTTTAGGAGGTACATCAAATATATTCTAACAATATATGTAAATGGGCTGAATTTTCCCATTCTAAGAACAAGAATTGTAGAATAGTTCAAACAACAAACCATATTATTATTTTGCTTATAGGAAAGACATTTAATATAAAAATATATACCTAGACTTAAATTAACAGATTGGGTCTAACTATGCGATGCTACTGCATTTCAAAAAAATCAGAAATGGACGGTATTAGTATCTGACAAAGTAGAATTCATATTGGAAAACATTGAAGGAAATAGACAAGGCTTTCACTAAATAGTGGGAATAGAAAGGAATAACCAGCTTTTAGTAGTTCTCAGTTTATATGTCCCAGATAACTTAGCAGTTAAATTTACTGAAAAAAAGGTTATCAGCAAATCAAGAAGCAGACAAAAGCATATTATAGTAGGAGACCTCAACATTTCACTAATGGAATATGACAAAATCAATTCAAAGATTGATAGTAATTAAATCACAGATTTGTACTGCTTAGTTAATATGTTAGAATTAGTATATGTATCATATCTAAATATATATACATACACACACACATATACACACTTACACATTGGAGAGAATGAGTGCAAGAAGAGAAGCAGGGAATGCACACGTGGAATGTTCACAGAAATTTAAAACATAATTATAGAGAAGCTCGATATAAACTCATAAAGGCAGAAATTATACAAGCTATCTTTTTCAGACTTTTTTATAAGTGCTGTAGGTAGAGAATTTAATATATTTCTTTTTCTTTTTTACTGATATTTAAAGTTTTTACATTTTCATTTGTGTACAACTTTGTTACTATTCCATAAATTCCCTTGTGTTGTACCTATAACTTTCTTTATATACATTCCGTTGTTACATTAACCAGAGTGTTGAGGAATTTTAATTTCCGTGTTATTATATGCCAACTTCAGAGCTGTAAAGCCCTAATCTGAGTTTTTCTTAGGTGTTTCTTGGTTCACTTTTCTTTCTTATTGGTAATCTTTCTCCCTCTTCTTCTCCCCCCTTACATATGAGCTCTTAATATTTTGTGGTCTTAGTGGCATAGACATGCTGGAGGGTAGTATTCATTTGAAGAGTCCCATCACTTAATGACATGGGGTGGGAAAATGCTGAAAATCTGAGATGCTTAAAAAAAAAATTTAACTCCACTTTGCCAGTGACAAATGGTGCGTCAAAATCTCCACATACCATCACAATTGGAGACTAGAATGATCTGGTTGGTTATTTAAGTATTTGGAGTAATAGGAAGCTATATACGCCATATAGGTATTGTAAGTTATCAGTGAATTAGTTTGAATGACACGTACTGTATAATCTGGATGCTAAGTGCACGTCATCATATTGTTTGATGACTAAGAAGGCAGTTTAGAATCTTTTGTTTCTGCATGGCCATTATTATTAACGTGAGCAGCAATTATCATGGTGTTGTAGACTGAGTACATGGGAGAATTAAAAGTGGTTCACAATGACAGGATAATCATGTCTTCAGAACAGTACGTAAGAACTGCAGTCAAACTCATCACCGATGAATAGCTTCTGTTGGACTGGGTGCTGCTTGTAGAAGGTTCATAGAAGAAATGTTTATTTTTAGAATGCTATAAAATGGGACTTATTTATACTTCCGCTTGTTTAGCATTATTAATGACTTGGAAATGGCTTATCTGTAGATGGTATTCTTATCAAATTTGTAAATGGTACAAACCTGGAAGAGATAACTAACATATTGGGTGACAGAATCTTGTAAAAAAACAAAACATTGTGATGGGTTAAAATATGGGTCTGTCTTAATAAAAATAAATTAAACAAACTATTTCATTTATGCTAAAAAAACTGACTTCCCAAACCATTGAACCTATGAGGTGTTTAGTTTTTTGCCAATGTAAATATTGCTTCACTGAATTTTTAAAAGTATCTTTGTCATGTTGATGTGTTTAAGTAGTTTTCTTTTACATGTTTCTAATTATTTGAAAAAAATTCAGCTAGTTAAGTTAGTAATTTTCATTTCTTCTTTTGAGTACTACCTGTTCATATTCTTTAACCACTTATCTTTGGAAAATGAATATTATTGCTAAAATTCATTTCAGTTCCCAGATTTTGACAAGTTGGACTTTTATCAATAACATTTTTAGCAAAGATTTTTCTTCTGATGGGTTTCCTTTTTACTTGGGATTCTTTTTGTTGTGTAAATGCGCTTCAGTTTTGTATAATCATGTCCCTTTATTTTGTCTACTATAATTTATCTGTTTAATAGCAAAAGTTTTCCACCTGTCCATCATTGCCACAGATATACTATTTAATTATATTCTCATTTACAAATTAGTTACAGATATTTGTATCATTTCCTATATTTTCCTTGGTTTTTTTCTCTTTAATACCAATATGCTTCTGGAATAAAGCTGTGAGTCATAGAACATAAGAGTTCCTAAAGAACCGAAAATGGTACAGCTAGATGGTGCAGTGAATAGAGCACCAGCCCTGGATTCAAGAAGACCTGAGTTCAGATCTGGCCTCAGACACTTGACACTTACTAGCTTTGTGACTCTAGGCAAGTCACTTCACCCCATTGCCTCGCAAAAAAAAAAAAAAAAGTGAAAATGGAAATCATGTGGAGGACAGTGGAGAGGCCCACGGTGGGTGTAAGCTGGTACTGACATTTGAGGACCTTCAAAGAGAAATGAGGACAAGGGATGTTATCAGTGAAGTGTATGATAGACAGAGAAGATAGACTTTGGCAAGAGGGGGAGACAAGAACGTGGTTCCCCTGAGGTGCCCCACTTGTATTCTCCCAGTGTCTGAAGAAAGCCAGGCAGGCCTCTTGGATGTTGAGTGGCCCTCCTGTGAGGAGCCTCAGAAAGGACACTGGAAAAGAGTCGCTTAGGATGGATGGGTTGGGATATGCATAATTGCAAAGAACATCTAAATTGATGAGATCACAGTTCCATTTTAGTATTTTAGATCAATGATCCCTTTGGAATGTATTGTGGAATATGATATGAAATGTAAATCCAATCCCATTTTTCATTTTACTGCTCTTCAGTTTTTCCAACAGAAATTGAATAATTGGTGCCTTGTCTGTTTTGTGATATTGGATATATAAATCACGAGTTTATTATGTATCTTTGCTTCTAGTTTTGAATTATCAGCTCTGTTCTATTAATCTTTTATTTTTTACCTAGCATGATATAGTTTGGTTGTGGGTGCTTTTATAATAGTCTTTTATAATTATAATAACACCAATTTATATAGCAATGTAAGATTTCTTTTTTCTTTTTTTTTTCTAACAACTGTTTGAGCCATAGAGTCCCCATGTTATTATCCCCTATTTGGCAGATGCAGAAATTAATCTTTAGAGAGTTTAATTGCCTTGCTTCCTCTCATAGCCTATGTGTGCAGG